CTTTTTTACCCCCTTGGGGGTGGAAATTATCAAAATCCTTTCTTAGCGGATGCCTACGTCATAACATCTATCTGTATGCCAAATTTTAGCCCAATCTGTCCAGCGGTTTGGGCTGTGCGTTGATAGATCACTATGTCAGTCAGTCAGTCAGTCAGTCAGTCAATCACCTTTGAATTATATATATATAGATGTAAGCATCTGTTATTTTTATTTTTCATAATCTTTGTTTGTGTGCCATTTGCCAAATAAATGCTTTTACTTTCTATCTTTCTTTCTATTCTTATTTAAATTCAATTGACTCCAGAATAGTTCGTGTGTTCATTGAAAATTCAAAATAAAATAGTTAAAACTTTGTGTTTCTATTGTTCTAAGAAATACACAATTTACAACTAATCTAATATTACAAAATATTACTGGTTAACACCAACGGCATGTACCAATGTGACTTTTTCCGAGTTATATGTACTTTCTAAGATTATTTAGACACTACTGACAAACGGTGAAGGAAAACATCGTGAGGAAACCTGGACTTATAATTTCTAATTATAAGTTTGAAATTGCCAACCCGCATTGAGCAAGCGTGGTGATTAACGCTCTAACCTTCTCCGTGTGAGAAGAGGCTTTGCTCAGCAGTGGGCATTTATAGGCTGTTGATGAACACCAAAGCTGTGAGACGACTGGCGTGCTAACGCTATAGGGTCGCAGGCGCAGCTACGCACTTGAGAACACATAAAAAATGTCAACACATTACTGTCGCTACTAACTATATGCATAGATACGATGCACATACCAAAATCACATGTTTTGCAATTTTTTGTCTGTCTTTCTGTATGTTTGTACTGGCTAATCTCTGGAGTGGCTGGACCGATTTTGACAGGACTTTCATTGGCAAGTAGCTAATGTATACTAAGGAGTCACATAGGCTATTGGCTATTTTTATTTTGGAAAATTGAAGCAAAAAAATAGTTGTGTTCTAAAATTTATATTTTACGCGGACGAAGCCGCGGGCAATAGCTAGTCTTAATATACACCTATAACTCAAATTGTGACTAACTGACTGACCTATTGACTGACATAGTGATCTGTAAGCACAGCCCGAACCACTGGACTGATTGGGCTGAAATTTAGCTTGCAGGCAAATGTCATGACGTAGGCATCTGCTAAGAATGGATTTTATATATAGTCGAAGCCGCGGAAGACTTAACGGGTTGCCGGGGCTCCGGCTCGAAGTGCAGGAGAAGGAACGGGGTGGTTTTTAGTCAGTAAGAGTCTGACACTCCCTTTCGCCTCACCCGGGCGGGAGAAGGAGAAGTCATTAGATGATTTTACCACCTCAAAACAAAGGGGATGTAATTATAGTTGTAAAAGGAAATAAGGCTACCTCGTTGGCCGAGTGGGTTCAATTCCCAGGGCGGGCAAAGTATTACTAAGTTTTTAAAAATTCTCAGTGGTAGCACGGAGTCTGGAATTGTACCCGGTATATGGGAATAGACTCACCCCCTGTTACATGGGACTCATAACATAAATAGCGAAAAGTGGGTGTTACATTGTACAGTGGGATTATGTGCCGTAATGTGCACCTCTGTCTACCTCTTTGGGGAATTTATCAAAATCTTCTGGGATACACTCGGCCAACGAGGCGATATTTAATTTCCATGTCTAAGGGGTTAATATAAAATAGGGGATGTAAGTTTGTACTGGTTGGCTGCGAATTAAACTCACTTTTTAATAAAGTTACCTATTTATTTTGCAAAATACAATACAGTACATAATCCAAAAATATATATTTCCCCAGTTTATAATAAACGATTTTATATAATACTAGTTACTTCCGCGCAGTTTCACACGCTCTGCTCAGCTCCTATTGGTCGTAGCGTGATGTTTTATAGCCTACTGCCATCCTCGATGAATGCGCTATCCAACACGAGAAGAATTATACAAATCAGACTTGTAGTTACGGAGATTAACGCGTTCAAACGAACAAACAAAAAAACAAACTCCTCCGCTTTATATAATAGTATAAGATTTGTATTATAACTTTCGTGAGACATACTAAATAAATTATTATGTTTTCGGCTTACTCACGTAATAATTTGACGAGGAACTCGACTAGTTTCAAGCCATGCTAGAGGCTCATCTCATCATGAGCGGACCTTATACAATATAATTATAATTAACAAAAAATATATACAAAATATTTTTAACTGATACATATTAATCATCAAAATGTATTTGATTTTTATTGAAACTATAACTTTACGCCGTACCCAATAGCGCGGCGCCTTTGAGTCTGAGATGAACGGGATAAACAATAATTGCTATTGGTGATCGAAGGTGTTGGAGCTTGGATGCTACGTCGGCGCGACTAGCGGCCATCGTCCAAACAGCATTACAACATCTTATGGATCAGAAAGCAGGCGAGCAGACGAATCACCTGATGGTAAGCGATCAGGGCGCTTACTCTTGAAACCAATCTCAATGTCAATGCAATTTCAATCCAATAAATTCTCAATAATTATTCAAAGTCAACACTATACAACCACAATCGTAGCTGTTAAAATAGCATTCAGAGTACGGAATATAAAGACAAACTCAATACCATTTAGTTCATTCAATATATACGCTAGTGGCGCTAGTGTTGCAACTCAAGAATATGATATTTCGCAATGTTAATGTCGATCGATCGGAATTGGATTCAAGAGTAAGTACCTACTCAGGGTGCTTACTGCAATGTCAATGCAATGTCAATCCAATAAAATCTCAATAATTATTCAATATTAAAACTATACTACCCCAATCGTAGCTGTTACAATAGCATTCAGAGTACGGAATATAAAGACAACCTCAATACAATTTACTTCATTAAATATCCACGCAATTTGGATACAATGGGCGCTAGTGTTGCAATTCAAGAGTATAATATTTCGCAATGTTAATGTTGATCGATCGGGATTGGATTCAAGAGTAAGAACCTACTCAGGCCACTTACTGCAATATCAATGCAATGTCAATCCAATAAAATCTCAATAATTATTGAGTATTAAAACTATACAACCACAATCGTAGCTGTTAAAACAGCATTCAGAGTACGGAATATAAAACCAAACTCAATACCCTTTAGTTCATTCAATATATACGCAATACGGATGCAATGGGCTCTAGTGTTGCAACTCAAGAGTATGTATGTCGATCGGTCGCAATTAGATTCAAAAGTACCCCAGCAGCGTTGCCCATGGACCTCAAATGCAGAGCTCAGAGGAGTCACAGGTGCGTTGCCGGTCTTTGTTAAATTGGTTTTCCCGCTCATCGCAGTTACAGACGCAAAACGCGCCGCGCCAGCGTGGGTACAGTATTGGCCTTAAAAGAATTAATACTTTTCATCCTTCTTCGTCTCATTTCGTCGACTGATAGTCCTCATAGTATCAATCAGATGATTTATCTCGATAGCCTGATTGGAAATTTGTTCATAAGCGTTTATATGCTCAATTGGTTTCCATTCATGAAACAATCGATTTAAAGTCATCGATATATCTGACATTATATTGAATTTGTCCATTACATCTCCCATTAGGTAGCCGACTTCGAAAACAGAGGAGTTTTTGTAATGAGTGCGGATGAGATCAGCTCTTTTGCATTTTAAGTCACTATCCCTGATAGTCTCATACATCAGTCTGAAGAGTTTCAGCCTCATGCTGTTGTCGTCCTCGTTCGGATCTCTTGGCTCTGCGTCGTCTCTCCTACCGGATACCAAGTACTGGATCTCTGGTATTCTTCGTTTTGGCATTGGTTCAGGCGACAGACGATTATTCTGAGATGACTGAGATCTCAGTTTGTCTTTTATAACCATCATTTTAACTGGCCAGGATAGCTCGTGAAATATGGAACCGTTAAATGATTTTTTGGTGGCGTTGTGTGATGACACGCCTGGGGAAAGAAATATTTTTTGAGAATTATAAAAGAACTGCCTCGTTGGCCGAGTGGTCTCAAGTGCGATACCGGGCAAGGGGTCTCGGGTTCGATTCTCGGATCGGCCAGTGTTACGAGGATTGGAGTGATACCAGAGCCTCACAGAAAACCGACGTGAAAGTCGCGTTATGTTTCGTCGTGTGAGTAAGGTTACCGGAGGCCCAATTACCCCCCCCCCCCAATTCCTGAATCCCCAAAAATCTTAATTCCTTATCCAAAAAAGCACATTAACGCACTGGTCCACGGGTGACGCTGATTGCTTACCATCAAGTGGTCTATCTGCTCGTTTATCGGCTTATACCTTAAAAACGGTACTTAAACCTTCTCCTAATTGTGAGAAACACTTTTTGGAAACCAGTACGGATAATCGTGAGTTAATCGCATCCAACCATACGTACATATAGGGGCCCGAACCGAAATTGTGTCAGAATGGTCGATCATTGAGCAGTGCAAGAGGGACAGAGCTATAGAACACCAGAGGGATTTTTTTTTAAGGGGGGAAAATCATCGAATGACTGCTCCCGCCTGGGTGAGGCGGGAGGGAGTGTCAGACTCTTACTGCCTAAAAACCACCCCGTTCCTTCTCCTGCACGTCTAGCCGGAGCCCCGGTTACCCGTTAGGTGAGGGATTTTTTTTTTTTTAAGGGGGGAAAATCATCGAATGACTGCCCCCGCCTGGGTGAGGCGGGAGGGAGTGTCAGACTCTTACTGACTAAAAACCACCCCGTTCCTTCTCCTGCACGTCGAGCCGGAGCCCCGGTTACCCGTTAGGTTCTCCGCGACTAGGTGAGGGATAGAACGGCTCCGTCCGTCGAGCTGTTGTATAGCTCTGTCCCCCTTCCACTGCTCAATGATCGACCATTCTGACACAATTGTATGAGCAGACTAAGGACCCAGCAGCTGTAGCCAAATGCCATTTAGCGCTTGTCTACTTGTAGAGTAGAAAACTAATGAAAAAAAAAACGTTGTCCCACATTAGGATTTTCTCCTGTGTCGTGGGTGCGTTTACAAACATACAAGTTCACGTACACAATGACACCCACACCCGAAACAACAATTTGTGGATCACACAAAGTGTTGTTCCGTGCGGGAATCGAACCCGCGACACGTTGCACGGCAGCCGGTTGCCCAGCCACCGCACCAACCGTGCAGTCAAATTTTACAAAAAAAATTGTATGGCATTGACGAAAATTTTGACACTTGTCAGTGTCATACCCATACATTTAGTTTTCTACTCTCTCTCTGTAGACAAGCCTGGTCAACTAGGTATATTCGCACCTCGGAATAACCTCATTGGTTACGATATTGCCTCTGCGCAAAGTACCGGGGCTCCGGGTCGAAGTGCAAGAGTAGGAACGGGGTGATTTTTAGTCAGTAAGAGTCTGACACTCCCTCCCGCCCCGGGAGCAGCCATTCGATGATTTTCCCTTCTTAGAAATAAATAAAAAAGGGCCCTGATTAAATACTTAATTTCTTTTTGATGTCGGTTAAAAATTATGGTACTTACATGATAAGAGAAATATACAAAATAATATTTTAATAAATATATGTTTGCGTTCGTCTTCTGGCATCTTTAAACGATAAATAATGGTATTGTAGTACGTACTAAATTATTAATTCATTGTTTTTATTACAATTTTCCAATTACATCGTTGCAGGTACCTATTTCAACTAATTTTATTGTTAATTAATTATGTATATACGTAATTCTATTTCGCATGCTTCTTTCAGTGGCATTACAAATAGAGATTGTACATTCAGGGATGTAAATGTACAGTTGACTGTAGCCTATCAACAGTCTTACCTGTAACTAACAACCTAGCCCTAACCATATAGCTACAATATATACGTATACCTATATATATGTATATTTTTTAAGGGGGGAAAATCATCGATTGACTGCTCCCGCTTGGGTGAGGCGGGAGGGAGTGTCAGACTCTTACCGACTATAAACCACCCCGTTCATTCTCCTGCACGTCGAGCCGGAGCCCCGGTAACCCGTTAGGTTCTCCGCGACTCCGAATCGGCATCAGCCCTATTGGGCCCCATCCGTGGTGGTCTGAATACGTATATATATATTGCGGGATGCCTGTTACCATGAGACCTAAAGCTTCTGCCTCGAATTTTGCGGGCAGCGGGGCGGCGGCGGCGGCGGCGCGGGATCGGTAGGATCTTATGCGTAAAATCAAATGGACTAGCTCTCGAAAACACAGCGCCGTTGCGGCGGGCAACGAGCGGTGCACTCTAATCAAACAGTGCCAACCGCGCTGCCGCCGCGCCGTCCCGCAATATTCGTGTCAGAGGCCTAAGGCAAGAGACGGAAGGTGGGAGGGATGGAAGGTGTATCGGATGGGATTTTCTCACTGCCGATACGCAGCCTCACGGACCGACCAATAACTAAGGCTGAGTAATGCGGATGCCAGAGCTATAGGTAGCCATTTATAGTCGCCGTAACAGTGAGAGGAGTCGATGGTCTCGTCGAATGAAACAGCGTTACTTGAAGCGTAGAAAGAGAGTTTATTAAAGATTAATTAGAGAGTTTATTATAGATTAATTAGAGAGTTTATTATAGATGTATTACTTATACTAATGCATTTGTGTGAAACCGATGATGTAGATCAATACTTTTGTGACACATAACTAAGATTGAGGTTGATTCTGGTTCATCGCGGTCACTGCCCGGCTGCGTCAGCATGTTCACATCCTCGCGTGAACAGAAATCCTCCTTTTTTGAAGTCGGTTTAACCTCTTGACTGCCGGTATATAAGACACAATAGAAAATGCATTATGTCTCGCGTAGATCTACGTTCCGGCACACGATGGGTTAAAACTCGATCTACTTTCGCAAAATACATAAAAACTCCACTAGTTTCTTACGGAAACGAATAGTTTCGGAGATATGACATAACATAACATCACGCCTTTTATCCCCGAAGGGGTAGGCACAGAAGTAACACCCACTTTTCACGATTTATGTTATGAGTTCCATGTAATAGGGGGTGAGCCTATAGCCATATACCGGGCACAATTCCTGACTCCGTGCTACTACTGAGATTTTTTTTAAAAAAACCCAGTAATACTTTGCCCGACCCGGGAATCGAACCCGAGACCCCTTGCCCGGCAGTCGCACTTGCGACCACTCGGCCAACGAGGCAGTCGAGGTCGAGGCATATTGATTTGAAATATCGTATGACCTCACTTTTGAGTACGATTTATACTCTAAAATAATTTAGATACCTCCTACTCCTAAACTTTGATACGTTTTTTATCTAAGTATATAGTACATTAGTCAGGAAATAAAACAGGTAACGTATCGCACACTTCACTTTATTATTCCCACACAATACAGTATTACAGTAACAATTCGACTTCTTACTCCACCGAATGCTATATCCAGAATGAATTCCTGCCATGACTGCTAGTGTATAGGTAACTTCCTAACATAATAGTGGGGGTAGCATTAGTCAAATAAACAACCAATAATATTACATAGATCAACCTAAATACTTTTTAAGATGAACTAAATTACAAATAAATTAATATTACGATGATTTATAAGCTTAATGAATAAATGCTTAAAAATATTTAAGTACTTTAATAGATGCAACTATTTAATTAAATTGTATATGACGTAACTTAACAATTGCTAATAAATTACAATTAAATTCATATTATGCGACAAGTAGGTACATACAGATTAATTGATTAGCCTTAAAAGTATTTTAGAATATTAAATTGTTTTAATAAGTACATGACATGGAATTTAATCAATCTTATATATAACCCAAAATACTACTTAACCTAACAGTATTGTTTTCTTTTTTTCTTTGCCTAACGAGGCCTTCGCTATTAGAATGGTCAGACATGATGAGAAACTTGAAATAATAGTCTCAAAGGGTAGTATGACAATTGGTTTAATCACTACACGGCACAGATTACAAGATGATTACACGATCGAATCGATGTAGTATGATTTGAATTGGAAACGCGGTGAATTCGAAGCAACGTTGTGACTTCACTTTTTGGTTATTTTAAAATCAGCCGTTTGATCACATGACAGCTGTCAGATGACACTGACAGCTGCCCATCCATCCTGTCACCACGATGCATCGACTACACCCAAGCATACCGCTTGACGTTTCCAATACCAAACAATTAGTTAGCATGTAAGGCGATAGATGGCACTTGAATTACTGACGCTGCGACATATATAATATATATTAACGGGAAACGGGTTTCATTTATATAATATATAAATGAAACCCGTTTCCCGTTGTCACGCCATAACTTGAGAACGGCTAGACCACAGATATAATGTGGGCTAGACTGATTTGACTAATTTTTTTGTTGTGTTTGTTATCGTCAGGAGAAGGTTCTTATGACAGAAAAGAGTCATGAAAATCCTATGGGAACGGGAGAAACGATATTGCGAGTACGAAGTCGCGGGAAGAAGCTAGTTATATTATAAATTTCCATACCCTGTCATCATTCCTATTCGCTTACTGAGAAACAATATATAACATAGAGGTACATATAAACAAATAAGTTTAGTGGCGTTAGCAAATAATTTTATAAATAAATAAAGAACAGAATCAAGTAATATGGGCAGACTAATAAACTATAACATAAATATGGAATAAATGTAGGTAAACCGATAAATTAATCAATCACTTGACCTTGCAATGGTTACATGAACTATTTTTACTAGATGTGGCATTGATGGCATCTATCTACATATATATAAGAATTAATTCCTTTTTCC